GCAGACCGGGAGCGGACCTGGCAGATGCAGTAGCCAAAATTCGTCAGTTAACCAACTACTCGCAGGAAGTTTCCCTCTCAATGTTTCTCTCTGTTGCTAGGAAACCTAGCTTCGCCGCAGCTCATTGGTTAGAGCCCCCTCCTGTGTCCGTGCACTGTAATAGTACCTTCAGTGAAGGAAAATGGAAAGGTTACTTTTTGATTTTATTTAATACTTTATTTAAATCATTTTTATTGTGATATAATATACATAAAAGAACGCAGAATATACACCAAACCGAAGCCAAATCCATTGCCTTCGAGTCTACAGAATAGGCCCCATAGGGTTTCCAAGGCTGAAATCTTCTCGGAACCCAAATGACATCTTTCTCCAGTGGAGAACCTGGTGGGTTGGAACCTCAGATCTTTCGGTTAGCAGTTGAACTCTTAATGACTGCCACCAGGGCTCCTTAGCTTGAAAAATAGTTATAAGTATAGCCCCGTGTAACTACTAGCCAGGTAAAGAAACAGAACACTTGTAGCCTCTCAGATTCCCCAGCTCCATGTTAATCACATTCCTTTCTTGCTTTTCTTTATAGGTTTATTACCTATATATTATCCTTAAACAATATATCTTTGATTTTGTCTGTCTGAGACTTTTATGTGATTATATGTGTATGTGTGTATCTCCATATGATTTTACTCAGTATTATCTTTGTTTGTAAGGTTCAACCATGTTGGGGCATGCAGATGTAGTTTATTCATTTTCACTACTACATAATATTCCAGTACATGACTGTACCACAGTATTTCATCCATTCTCCTGTTGATGGACACTTGGGCTGTTTCCAGATTGGAGATATTTTGAACAGTGCTGCTCTGAACATTCTTGGGGTTTGCTCCACATATGCATGTATTTCTCCTGACAACATATCCAGGCGTGGAATTGCTGATGAGGTATCTCTGACTTTACCAACTACCAGAGTAGTTGAACAAATAAGTGTACAGTCTCACCCAGGAGAGGATGCTCATTCCACTGTTGCAGAGAGCCACACTTGGAATTTTCAGAAACTTATTTTCTGCAACCTTGTGGGTGTAGGGTGGTATTTCATTGTTATTTTAATTTCTCTCATAATTAATGAAGGATCTCTGTTGGTATGGTGTTCAGCTGCTAACCAACAGGTCAGCAGTTCGAATGCACAAGCTGCTGCTTGGGAGAACGATGTGACAGTCTACTTCCTTAAAGATTTATAGCCTTGGAAACTTTGTGGGACAGTTCTACTCTATTCTATGGGGTAAATATGAGTCAGAATTGACTTGATGGTAATGAGTTTTGTTTTGGTAGTTAATGATATTAGCAAGTTTTCACATGTTTATTGGCCAGTTAGAGCTCCTTTTACTTGAAATGTCTACTCAAATGTTCAGTCCACTTCCTTTTGTGTTGTCTGTGTTCATAGCAGATACTGTTGCTGCCTACTCTTTGCCCTACTTGGATTCCAGCACCTGATGTGGTGAACAGGTAATTTTTTTTTCATAATTTCAGATTTGTATAGAAGTTGCAAGAATAGAACAAAAAATTCTCATATGAATTCACCAGATTGCCAAATGTTAATTTCTTACCACATTTCAGTTCTCTTTCTCTATGTACTATTTTTTTCTGAATTTGAGAGTAAGTTGCAGACATGATGTCCCTTTCCCTAAATAAACCCACTGCCCCAAGTTGATTCTGACTCATAGCGACCCTGTAAACCAGAGTTTACAGGACTGTAAATGTTTATGGAAGCAGAATGACACATCTTTCGCCTGCACAGCAGTTGGTGGGTTCAAACTGCTGACCTTTCAGTTAGCAGCAAGCTCTTTAACTACTGTGCCATCAGGGCTCCATTCCCTTAAATACTTCTGTGAATATTTCCAAAAATCAAGGACATTTTCCTACATAACCACAATGCAACTATCAATACCAGGAAACTAACATTTCACTCTAATAGTGTCTTATCTACAGACCTTATTCAAATTTTGTTAATTATCCCAATAATGTCTTTTATAGCTAAAGAAAATCCAACATCATGTGTTGCATTCATTTATGATGATCTCTTTATTGTTGTCGTTAGTTGCCATCGAGTCGGCTTTGACTCATAGTAACCCCTGTACTATCTTCATGATCCTTGGTATACCCAAGTCCAATGTTGAGACTACTGTATTTTTAATGCTTTCCAACCTGGGGTGGTCATCTTCTAGCACTATATTGGACAATGTTCTATTATGATCCATAGCATTTCACTGGCTAATTTTTGGAAGTAGATCACCAGTCCTTTCTTCCTAGTCTGTCTCAGTCAGGAAGCTCCACTGAAATCTGTTCACCATGGGTGACCCTGCTGGTATTTATAGTATCATAACAACACCTGAGCCAACACAGTACAACAAACTGACAGGTGGGTGATGCGACTATCTCTTTAGCCTCCATTAATCTCTATCAACTTTTCCTTCTTTGTTTTGCATGACACTGACATTTTTAAGAGTATTGATCAGCTATTTTGTGAGATGTCCCTCAATCTGGGTTTGCCTGATGGTTCTTTATGATCTTATCCAGGCTGTACATTTTGGCAGGAATATCACAGAAGTGGTGCTTCATTACAAAGCATAACTTAAACTCCAGCATCAATGGCATATGCTGTTCATTCATTCCTTCAGAAATAAGAGATTGTTGAGATTAGGAGTTTTGATGAGGGGAAGGTTAGCATCATAAAAAGTGAAAGCAACAGAGTGGGAAAAGATCATTGAAGATCATACATATTAGATAAGGAATACCAAACAAAGGACAGTATCAAATATGCATGAAAAATCTCTACAAATCAATAGAAAAAAGGCAGACAACTCTATAGGAAAAAATGGGCTAACAACTTAAACCAGCTCTTTACGAAGAGGAAATCCAAATTGATACTAACCTCATTAATAAACAGGAAAATGCAAATTAAAACACAATAAGATAACATTATATGTCTAATATATTGGCCCAAATTAAAAAGCCTTCAATACCAAGTGTTGGCGAAGTAGTAGTGCTACTGGCATGTGCTGGAGATTAATGAACACAACTATTTTAGAGAAGAGTACAGCTTTAATCTAAGAAAGTTCAAGATATGCATGCCCTATGATCCAGCAATTGCACTGCAGAGAAATTTCTACATAACTACCCTAGGAAACATGTGCAACGTTCGTAACATCATTGTTATAATAGCTATGATAGTTGGAGCTGTTTGTCAACTTGACTGGACCACAATTCTGTGTGGTTTAAGCAGTTGTGATGTGGTTATTCCCATGATGGGATCAGATGAATATGTTTTGAGCAGCCAATCCGTTGAATGGGGGTTTCCCTAGGGGTGAGGCCTGCTTCCAGTATATTTATGGACATCCTGGGAAAAGAGACACTCTTCTGTAAATCAGGATTCTGTTGTGCTGCCTACAACTGTTCATGAGCGAACAATCCACCATTCGGCCTGGAGATCTTGGATTCGTCATTTGTTGGAGTCAACAGCCAGTATACTGCCTGCCAACCTTGAGCTCCTCAGCCCCTGCAACTGCATGAGTCAGGAAAAGCCTCCAGCTTGACGTTTGATCCAAGAACTTGGGACTTGCCAGCTTCTATAAGTGTGTAAGCCATTTTCCTAAGATAAATTTCTCTTTCTCTCTATGTATAAGCTTTACTGGTTTTGTTTCTCTAGAGAACCCAGTCTAACACAATAGCCTAACACTATATTTATCCATGGGAGCTCTGGTAGCATAGTGCCTAAGGCACTTGACTGCTAACCAGAAGGCTGGTGGTTCAAACCCACCAGCCACTCCTCGGAAGGAAGGTTGGGCAATCCTACTTCCATAGTGATACTGCCTTGGAAACCCAAGGAGGGGTCGCTATGAGTCGGGGCCGACTCGACGGCATATAACAACAACAAACAACATATTTATGCACAGGAGCATGGATTTATTAAATTGTGATATATTCACCCAGTAGAATATCTGACAGCAGTAGTTCTCAAATGTGAACATGCTTCAGAATCACCTGGAGGGTTTGTGTCCACACAAAAACTTTACTCAGATGTTCATAGCAGCGTTATTAATAATAGCCAAAAGATAGACACAACCTAAATGTCCATCAACTGATGAATAGAAGAGCAATATGTAGTATATCCATACAATGGAATATTATTCAACCATAAAAAGGAATGAAATACTGATACACGTTATAATGTGGATGAACCTTGAAAACGTTGTTGTTGTTATGTGTTGTCGTGTCGGACCCAACTCATAGCGACCCCTCCTTGGGTTTCTGAGGCAGTATCACTAGGGAAGTAGATTGCCCCATCTTCCTTCGGAGGAGTGACTGATGGGTTTGAACCACCAGCCTTCTGGTTAGCAGTCAAGTGCCTTAGGCACTACGCTACCAGAGCTCCTTGAAAACATTATGCTAAGTGAAAGAATCCAGAGACAAAAATCCACATATAGTATGATTCCATTTATGTGAAATGTCCAGAAAAGGTCAATCCATAGAGATAGAAACTGGATTAGTGGTTGCCAGGGGCCAGGGAGGGAGAATGGGAAATGACTGGGAATGGGTATAGGGGTTTCTTTTTCATGGTATTTTAGATGAAAATGTTCTGAAATTGGATTGTGGTGATGGTTGCACAACTCTGAATACTAAAAATTATTGAAATATACACTTTGAATGAATGAATTGTTAAGGCTGATGGTATAATGTGGGAACACCTATAGGTACTAGTTGAACAACATGATGAATATAATTAATGTCTCTTAACTATAGGTGTTGAAACATCAAATATTTTGTTATGTATATTTACCACAAGAAAATAAATAAAAATAAAAAATGGATAAATTGCATAGTATGGGAACTGTATCTCAATAAAGCTGTTTTAAAAATATATACACAGATTGTAGCCCCGCCTCCTGCACCCGAGTTTCTGATTGGTAAATCTGGGGTAGGGCTCAAGAATTTTCATTCCTAACAGATTCTCAGATGGTGATGATGATGATGGTGATGATGATGATGATGCTGGGGCCATACTTTTGAGAACCACTTCTCTACAGTAATAAATATGAACATATAACAACCATACACAACACCATAGACGGACCTCACAAACAAAGCGAGAGCCCATGTATATAAAGTTCAAAGCCAGAAAAAATAAACTTTTGTTTAGGGATGCTCATAGGTGGCAAAATGATTTTTTTTTTTTAAAAAAAGGACATAGTTATCATAAAAGTTAAAAACTGATTCCCTCAGAAGGAAGACTGGGCAATCTACTTCCATAGAGATACAGCCTCAGAAACCCAAGGAGGGGTCGCTATGAGTCGGATTGATTGATTCGACAGCAGTGAGGTTTTTTTTTTTTAATTAACAATTCATTCATTCATATGCCTAGGGTCATAATCCCATTTGGAAATGGGTTGTCTTTGTTATGTTAATGAGACAAGATTAGTGTAGTGTGTGTTTTGAGGTATAAAAGAGAGTAAACAAGCAAATGAGAAGTAGAGACAGGGAAGATACCAAACCATGAAGATACCAAACATGAAGATCCCCCAGGAGCAGAAGCTGAAGAAAGAAGGACAGAGAAAGTCTTCCTCTACAGCCAGCACCCTGCATTAGGACTTCAAACTATGAGAAAAGAATTTTCTGTTAAAGCCACCCACTTTAACCCACTTGTGTAGCAGCACTGGATAACTAAGACACTGCTTATGCCCATGAGTCCCCCCTCCCTTATTGAAAGCATGTCCTCAAAGCTGGTTCTTCCTTTTCCTCCAAAACCCCACCAGGCCTCTCACTGCAGGCCCCAAGCTCAGAGGCCTCCATTAGCTCCTCCACAGGCCTGTGATCCATCCTCTGAGGTCAAAGTTAGAAGTGATGGAAGAGAGGAAGGCTAATTTTTAAACTTGCTGAGCACTTACTATTCCTCCTTTTAATACAGTGCTTACCCTCTGGCACATTTTACTCATTTTATTCGCGCTCTATATCCCTCCACCAGAATATAAACTATAGGAGAGTTTTTCAACTTCAGCACTATTGCCATTTTGGGCTGGATAATTTTTTGTTTTGAGGGCTGTCCTGTGCACTATATTTCCCAGCTTCCTCTGCTAAGTGTGACTAAGTTCTTAAAAGTAGAATGTGAATGGAAATGATATGCACAACTTCTATGTCCTTGCATATAAAGAATTTGATTACCCTTTGTTTCCTCTCATTCACCCTTCCCAAGAACTGGAATGTGGCTATAGTGAACACCCAGCTCTGATCATGCAAACTAAGGCAACACCCTACAGCTTGGCTGAGCCACAGAAGAGTCCCTGAGTCATTGTGTGGAGCAGAGCTGAATTACTCAACTCTGGAATGTTACTGAGAGAAAAAGTTCCAGCTTACTTAAGCTATTGTGCTTTTGGATCTTTTTGTTACAACAGCTAAGGTTATATTCCTAACTAGTACACACATAAACCAGCTTCCTCATCCACATTCATGAGAAGACGTACCATCTGTGCCATTATGTCAGATGGGCATATTAGAATGCAAGGGTCTGAAACCTCAATACAATCTGGGTGGGGGAAAAAGAAAAAAGAGGGAAATTTATAGCCTCATAAAACAGAGCTGGCTTCAGATGCAGCTCCATTCAGAAGTTGAACATTATCATCAGGGTTTGGTTTCCCAGCCTCTCTCAGTTCAACTCTTGTCTCTGTTCTCAGACTGGCCCCTGGTGGTAGCAAGATGGTAGCAGCTGTCTCAAAGTTCACATCCTCACATCATCAAATTCAACAGAGGAGGAAGTGCTTCTTTCTCAAATCCCCAGCAAATGCCTCTGTTGCAGTCATCTGTTGCTGTGTAACAAACCATCTCAAAGCTCAGTGGCTTAAAACAAGAACAATTTATTATTTCCCATGAATCTTCACTATGGTTTGAGCTCATCTGGGTAGTCCTTCTGCTGGTGTCTGCTGGAATTGAAAAGCCCAAGATGCTTTTTCACTCCTATGTCTGGTGCCTTAGCTGAGGATGGCTGAAAAGCTTGGGCCTGGCAGGATCTCTCTCTACATAGCTTCTTTGCATGGCTAGCTTGGGCTGATTCATAATCAGATTGCTTATATTGAGGCTGAATACCGAAAGGAAAGGCAGAAGCTTCTAGGCCTTTTAAAAGCTAGATGTGGGACAGTCCCATGCCACTTCCATCTCCTTTTATTGGTCAAGGCAAGTCACAATGCCATCTCACGTTCAAGGGGACAGAAGTACATGGAAAAAAAAAAAAAAAACTCACTGCCACCGAGTCGATTCCAACTCATAGCGACCCCTTCTTGGATTTCCAAGGTGGTATCTCTACGGAAGCAGATTGCCCAGTCTTCCTTCTGAGGAGTGGCTGGTGGATTTGAACTGCCAGCTTTTTGGTTAGCAGTCAAATGTCTTAGGCACTACACCACCAAGGAGGGGAGAAATTGTTAGTGTCCATCTTTGGAGACTAGCCTCCTGGTGACCAGTTGGTTCCATTGAGTTCTGAGCCTAAATTTGTTGGTTTACAGTCTATGCTGCTATGTCAGAGATCAAAAAAGGAAAAAGATAAGAGACACTGGAGGCTAGTGTCTCTGTACATGCCTAGGTATTGGAATATGCTGATTGGCTAATGCCAGTCAGGGCCCTGGAGGTAGTGGTGAGTTGACCAACCCAAATCTCTTTGGGTGCTAATTTATTCTTCAAAGGAAAATTGGATGTTAAAAACTACTAGTGAGGCAAATAGCAAATTATGACAGCCATCCACCAAATGGCTACACAGAGCTTTGGATCATTCTAGACTCCTCTTTCCTTTACTGCATCCATTCATTCACTCATTCATTTACTCAATGAACAAATTCAGAGTTTAGCGGGGATCCATATGGAAGTAGATAATTGCCATGTAGGTGTTAAGAACTCCCACTGTGGGAAAAGCCAGGGTACTGGAGATTAGCACACATTTTCAAATCATACTGTGGAGTTGTTGTTGTTGTTGTTAGATGCAGTGGAGTGGTTCCAGCTTATAGCAACTCTGTGTACATTGCCCCGTCCTGCACAATCCTCACATTCATCGCTATTGCTGTTTCAGCTCATTGTTGCAGTCACTGTTGTCAATTCATCTTGTTGAGGGTCTTCTTTTTTGCTGACCCTCTGCTCTACCAAGCATGATGTCCTTCTTTAGGAACTGGTTCTTCCTAATAACATGTCTAAAGTACAAGAGACAAAGTCTCGCCATTCTGACTTCTAAGGAGCATTCTGGCTGTACTTCTTCCAAGACAGATTTGTTCATTCTTCTGGTAGTCCATGGTATATTCAATACTCATCACCAACACCATAATTTAGTACATCATTATTTCTTCAGTCTTCTTTATTCATTGTCTGACTTTCACATGCATATGAGGTAATTGAAAATACCATGGCTTGGGTCAGGTGCACCTTAGTCTTCAAAGTGATATCTTTGCTCTTTAACACTTTAAAGAGGTCTTTTGAAGCAGATTTGCCCAATGAAAAACATCATTTGATTTCTTGACTGCTGCTTCCATGGGCGTTGATTGTGGATCTAAATAAAGTGAAATCCTTGACAATTTCAATCTTTTCTCCATTTATCATGATGATGCTTATTGATCCAGTTGTGAGGAATTTTATTTTCTTTATATTGAGGTGTAATCTATATTGAAGGCTGTAGTCTTTGATCTTCATCAGTAAGTGCTTCAAGTTCTCTTTGCTTTCAGCAAGCAAAGTTTTGTCATCTGCATATTGCAGGTTGTTAATGAATTCTCCTCCAAGTCTGATTAGACCTTTATAATGTCTTTAAGTCAAGACTTTGAAGCAGTTCATTCTGGTTATACCCCAAGTCCCCCCACCCCCTGCTGAGAAAATGCATTCCCACCACAGATATACTGAAGCAGAATCTACATTTTAACAAGATCCTCAGGTTATTCTCATGTATACATATTGTTAATGAAGTTGTTGTTGTTGTTGTTATGTACCGTCGAGTCAAACCCGACTCATAGCGACCCCTCCTTGGGTTTTCGAGGCAGTATCACTACGGAAGTAGGATTGCCCAACCTTCCTTCAGTTAATGAAGTAGATGATTCTATTTTGTAATGACTTGTTAAAACTCCATTTTGCAGCAAAGTCCATTTCACACACACTCCAGCATAACAGCATTTCTACTTCTCCCTGTCCTTTTCAGAGGGCTTTACTATCTGAACCAAACATCCCTGAGAACCCACTCACCCCTTCCTTTCCCTGAGAACCCTGTTAATAGTAATTCCCAGAGTTAGGGACCCACATCCTCCCAACAGAAATTCTCAAAATTGAGGACCCTTACTCCAGATTGTGTGTTTCTATTCTGCTAATAGGCTGACCACCAACCTTCCTTAAAATAGTAAGCTGACCATTAATCTTCCCTAAACAATAACCTGGCAATTTATCTCTCTTCTGTAACACGCTTGCTTGCCTGCTTCCAGTCCTAAGCTATATAAACCTGCCTGAAATCAGGCTCGGGGCTGCAGTTGGGAAGAATGCTTTAGTTCCCTGCAGCCCAGCTATAGATGAATAAAGACTTCTAAATTCTGGACATTATAGTGGTCATCAATTTCTTCTGAACCCACATTAAAAACACTATATATATCTGGGTTTTGGCAAGGCTGTCTGGAGGCTGTCAGAAGAGTCCTGTATCTCCCAGGAAGGGGACTGCTTTAGTCTCTGTCTCTGCTAAGTCATTGGCTGAGAGCATCTGCAGGAAGCTAGGTCTTCCCCCAGACACAGAGTGCCATAGCCGTTGGTCATTATAATCTGGAGCTGCAGGTCTGTGGGGTTCATTCTCACAGCCCCAAACCCAAAAAATCAAACCCACTGCTATTGAGTCAATTCTGACTCATAATGACCCTGTAGGACAAAGTAGAACTGCCCCATAGGGTTTCCAAGGCTGAAATCTTTATAGAAGCAAACTGCCCTATCTTTCTTCCATAGAGCGGCTTGTGGGTTCCAGCCTCCAACCTTTAGTTAGCCAAGCACTTTAACCACTGTGCCACCAGGACTTCTTCTCTCATGACCCTGAACAGGCCCTTACATCCCACTTCCCACATGGCTGTTGAAGTGATCTTTCTAAAATGCTATGTCACATGCCATTCCTCTGCTCAAGCCTCTTCCATGGCTCCCAGGGACCTCAGACTAAAGTCTCAGCCATCAAGGTTCTACTATGGAGTAGGGTTGGAAAACAATTTACCCTTTGTGCTCCGTTGCCCACAAATCCTCACCCCTATTCACACAGTCACCACACTGGACTGGACTATTGATTGCATGCTAGCCTCTTCCCCCAGTGCCTTTGCCCATGCTATGCCCTCTGCCTGGATGCCTTTCCCTACAGCTCTCTCTCGACAAAAAAAAAAAAAAAAAAAAAAAAAAAAAAAACCAGCTCTGATGTCATCTGCCTTCCCCAGGTTCCCAGGCTCAGTCTGCAGTTCCCTTCCATCCGCAAGCTCTATCTCTGGTCCAGATTGTCTGGAGCAGGCAGAGGATCCTGTCACTGCCTTCTTAGGCTTCCCTGCCCTCCTCTCAGAGCAAGCTGGCCTGCAGTGGCCCCAAAACACATTTACTACTCCTGTCCTACCTCCACTTGTATTCCAGAAGAAGACCAGCACACAGAGTGCAGGGCCCTCAAAGACAGAGCCCCCCTCCTCCGATTCCCTCTTTCCAATCCTGCCTTCCCTGGCTCAGGATTCGATGCTTTATTTTTAGACCATACTTTGGCCTGGGGCTCCAGGAATCTGCTGTGTGCTTGAGGTGTAACCAGACCCCAGATTGGCACTGGCCTTGAGCTAGCTTGGCAGAGAAAGAAGCATCGAGAGGGTTTGAGGGCAGGGCTGGAGGCTGGGGGACTAGGGCCCCAGGGAGCAGTGCACTTGTGTAGACTGATCCTTAGCTGAGATCGGGGGTGGGGGGGGCTTTCTCTCAGGTCAGGGGAGCTCCTAATGACCAGCCTGAGCCTCCTCTTTACAACTGGGGCCCAAAGAAGCCAAAGTTACCAGCAGAGAACTAGGTTTTAAAGTCGTGTCTCCACCATGCAGTCAGGCTGCCAAAAATCAAAACATGGAACAGAAATAACTTTGTGTGCTCATGTTCTTGCTCTGGCTTTCTCTTCCATTCTGCATTTGCCTCCTTCAGTTCCTGTCTCCAGTTGAATACTTTAGAGAGCCCTGATGCAGAGGCTGTACACCTGAAGGCTGATCTTGTTTTGTGTGGCCCTCCAAGTATTTGAATGAAAAGAAAATGTTCTTATTAGTTGCCATCAAGTTGGCTCCAACTCATAATGACCTTATGTGTAACAGAACTAAACAGTGCCCAGTTCTGTACCATATTTATGATCACCAGTATGGTTGAGTCCATTGTTGTGGTTATTGTGTTAATCCATCTCATTGAGGGTCTCCTTCATTTCCACTGACCTACTACTTTACTAACCATGATGTCCTTTTCTAGTGATTGGTTTTTCCTGATGACATGTCCAAGGAAAATGAGCCGAAGTCTCACCATCATCACTTCCAAGTAATATTCTGG